CTTGCTCCCTCACCAACATCTAATTCCAGTTCCATTTTCCATGTGGCAAAGGGAGTGTAGCACTAGAGTAATTCCTACAAGGGGAATGTTACTTTCTGTCAAGGTACTGCTGAGTTCCATGCTCTCCCAGCTTTTCCTCCTCATGGCACCTGGGTTTTGGCCACTGTGTGACAGAGTGTTGGACTGGATGGGCCACTGGCCTGATCCAACATGGCTTTTCTTATGTTCTTATTGGAAAAATATTATTTTTCTTGTGCATAGGCCTTACCTGGGGATATTAGTGAGGTATGTCAGAACACTCTGAAAATCCTTTTCTGGAATTTCGCTGAAAGCTGCATATTCTGGAAAAGTAATGACAGGGCAGCCATCTTTCCCTCGCCCACCTAACAATAAAAACAAAATTTATTTACTCACAAGCTACTTTACGGCATGAAGCTATTATAGTCATTTCAGAGCATTAACATGAAAACAAATACATTCTGACATAAGATATTTTCTCTAATTCAATTAATTCTGTTTGTAGCCAGATCTGTAACAAAAGGCCCAATGCTGGTAGTATTACAGACACAATGCTGTAGTCCCTGAAGGTAAGCAAGTGTCAAACCCACTGAACTCCATGGCTATTGTATGATGCAGTAACAATGGCCATTTCCACACTGGTGATTTGCCCCAGATTCAATGTTTTTGGGAAAAAGTATCTCCCCATTGCTTTTCAGGGGCCTTTCAACAGGGCTTTCCTCAACTTCTCAGAGATCTTTCCCAAACCATCTTGGCTGCAATGTTTTGAGAAAGACTGTAGCAAAGCCAGGTTAGTGACTCTGAAGATGTGGATTTTCCCAGACCCACTTACACGACAGCCATTTTCCCTGTCCGCAAGACAGCCATTCCCTGCCACCCCTTTATGGCACCAGTGGGCTTTTCTTTTTTTAAATTTGCCAATTGGTATATTAATATAACGATATATTTGTATTTCAGTTATTGAAAAAAATCTTGAAAAGCTCCCCCCCATAGTATGGGAGGGGCAAATGGCCACCAAGGGGACAGGATTAGGGGAAATGTGGGGGAACCCACCTTCTGGAAGCCTCACTGCCACTGTGCTGCACTGGGAGCCACAGCAACAACCAGGCTTCCGAAGAAATCATCACAGTGAAGAGCAACCAAATCTGTGATATGCCTCAGGTTTATAAACCTAGGTTTGATTCCAAGTGGCACCTTTAAGACCGATAAAGTTTTATTCTGGGTATAAACTTTAATGTGCGTGCACACTTCTTCAGATACATCTAGATGTTCAGGAGACAATGAAGACTGATGACTGCTGCCCAGATAGCGAAAAAGGGCAGGGGAGAGGTTTCTCCTCCCACGTGTGAGGCTATATAAAAGGCCTAGGTAACAGAAGAACAACGTCTCCTACAGATGGAATGTGCTGGAAGGAATAATCTTCAAATTCAAGGATAAGAAAGAAAAAATTGACTCTGTTGAAGAGGCTTTGGAGTTTTTGCAGCAACAAAATCGACCAGCAGGAGAAGATAAAAAGAAAGATGACAGCACCAAGGAAAGTGACAAAGAGGGAGCAGTGGCATCTTCTGACGAGGGCTCAGATTCAGAACTTGGGGCGGCAGCCCCAAAAACAAGCTATCAGTTGAGAAAGAAAAAGAATAGATATTGAGTTGCTATTGTGTCTGGAATTATTTTAAATGATTATTAACCATTTCTTAATGGCAGATGCGCAGGAGTTATAGCTTACAGCTTTTGTATGAAGAACATGATTGACCACATCCAATGAACTCTAAATGAACTTTAAGCAAGAAGCTAATTTTACAAACATTATGTATGATCACCATCTCTTGGGGTTATAGTGGGTTTTCTTTACTTTCTACCATAGTTTGTAGACCCTTTCCTAAATTTCATTGTAGTTTTTAGAAAATGCAAATTAAAAAAAATCCCCTACGGAGGGCCAAAAAAAAAAAAGGCCTAGGTAACTCTTCTTTCTGTTCTTCACTACCTTCTTAATGTGAGTCAAAGCTATTCACAGCATAGCTTCATAACCTCTTTCAGTACTGGGGTGGAGGGACTCAGCTCTAGATGATTAAGGAGTGGCTGCAGAATGAAGCAGGAAGAATGACACCAAAATGCACCAAGGAGAAACAAATCTCTCCTCTCACAGGCAAATCCATCTCTTCCTCCATGAAGGCTTCTAAAAAAAGTGCATTCTTGCATTAGATAAATTCCTGAAGGAGGCTAACAGGTATGGCTGTTATTTAAGAAGGTTTAAAAAAATCAACTTTAAGAGACTGTTGTCCTCTTAACTTCAGAGTAAATGAAAGGTGAACAAGCATACCATCAGTAATGTTAGCCCCTTCATGTTGTACTACTGATATGACCATTTTTTTGTTCTATTATTGGAACCCTGGTAGGGTTGCCAGACTCCTGGTCCGGGTGGGGTTTCCCCTGATTTTTTGGGCTTCTACCTGCCACTGGCTAGCTGGCTGGCAGGGGAAGCCCTGCCCCCAAAACAGGTGCGTTGCATAACAACATCCCCAATATGATGACATCACATGATGGAAGCGATGTCATCACATTGGGACATCACGTGGCAACACTCTGCTTTTTGGGGTTTAGACCAAAAAAGCCATAGAGTTTTGCCCCAAATGCAGAGGGTCATGGTGCAATGTCCCCGGCGTGATGATGTCACTTCTGTGTGATGTCATTGTGTCCCCTGGAACACCACTCAAATCCCCCCCCCCTGGAAGCCAAGGGAACCTGGCAACACTAAACCCTGGAAAAGAAGCCTCCAATATCTTTAAGAAATTTGTGTTCTTGAAATTTGTTGCTACATTGTTAACCACTTTGAGTCTAAGCAGAGAAGGGGGGATATAAATGTTCTAAATCAATAAAATAAAGACGATCTTCTGAACAGCATGACTGCTCATAGAACAAAAGTTATTTAGCAACAGAACTGTATTAAACCAAACCAATGTAACGGCACAATTTATGTTTGAACTACAATCTCAGCAAACTTTATCAACAGGAAGAAAAATGACACTTGACAGAAGCAGCACTAATCCTGGCACAGCAGCAGAATCACGCATGGAAGTAATTTGCTACATAAATCCAGTGGCAAAATAATAAACACAGTTCTAATGTTGTGAGGACACACTTCAGATAAGACCTTTGAAGTTAGCTGTTAACATGCTACAAAGTCCAATGTCTATGGGCTTCACAGAGAAGTTGTCCTGAAGCAGTAAATCGTATTAAAAATTGTGATACTGGTGGAACAGAGTCCTTTTAAGTACCTCCACTTACTTGCAAAATAATAACCTTGTTGGTGCAGGATCAAAGGGTTAACAACAAATCCAAGAAGGTGGAATTAAAAAGGATCATTTCTGTTCAGCGTCACTGCACAGTGGATGTAACCAAATAACAATTATGTTTGCAGATGGATGCATTTACAAATGTCCAAAGTAGTCTGTTGTAACAAGAACATACAACAGTCTTGTTTCACCTTATAAAGACTAACAATTTTTTAACTGTACCATAATCTTTCATGAACTAGAGCCCACTTTGAGCATGCATCCAAAAATGTGGGCTCTAGTCCATAACAGCTTACGCTCCAATAAAAATTTGTTAGTCTTTAAAGTACTACAGGACTAGAGATGCAAAAGCCTGGGAAATACCCTGGAGAAATTGAGAAAAGGAGTGTTTTCTATGCTGAGGGCTTTCCCTTGATTTCCCCCCCCCCCCAACGGAAATATAGGGAATTGTTGGGAGCACTAAACAAATATCCTACAAAACATTTTCTTTTTCAGAATAAGTTAAATGCATTTGAAAGTAAGATTCTTGCTTATACAAGACAACCTACAGTTCAACCTTTCCAGAGTCAGGAGGAGACAACTTTAACTCCCAGATGACAGCACAGAACACTCTGAGTGTCATGAAAATGATAGGAAATTGCATGACAGGAAGTGTAGGAATCAAAATCATGACCTCACTGGAATCAAGGCTGGGGCTGTGAGAAGCAGACAGAACTAGGAGATCAACCATAGTGAGGAACAAACTAATGGAAGAATCCTCTTTGCCATTGCCTAACAGCATATCACAGTTCTCATGACTTTACTATACCCTCTTGCTCTCAATGAATGTCCAAAGAAGGACAGGAGGTGTGGTGGTCTTGGAACCCAGCAACTGGAGTTCACCAGTTCATCAACTGAAGACCACTGATATACAACATCCAGAGAATCGAACTCCTAACTACACTGTAGATGTGCACAATGCACTTTCAAAGTTAAATGAGACTAGGATTTTAAGGTTAAATGTGACTAAGGTAGTTTAAATGTGACTAAGGTAACTGAATGTGTGCACAATAAGCTATAATGTATATGACAATAATACACTACTGAATGGTTTGCTGTTTTCAATGTTATATAGTAGTGCCTTTTATTAGCTTCAGCTGATATGCCAGCTAAGGCCATTCCTCAAAAAGTATGATCTGGCCACAGTGACCCATGGTCTGATTACATCCAGGTTACATTACTATAATTCACTTGACATGGGGCTGCCTTTGAAAACAGACCGGAAACTCAGTGTGTTCAAAATGCAGCAGGCAAGCTATTCACAGGGAACATAATCACCCTAGTGCAGAAAGATCTGCAACGGCTGCACATTTGTTTTCAAACACAATTCAGAGAGCTGGTTCTTACCTCTAAAGCTGTAAATGGCTTGTGGCCCAGCCACTTGAAGGGCTGCCTCCTCCCATGCTATCCAGCCCGCCATTTAAGAATTGCCTTACAAGCCATGTTCTCTGTGCCCCCACCTTCAAAGGTGAGGCAGACGACAACCAAGGACAGGGCTTTTTCAGTAGCGGCATCTTGCTTGTGGAATGCTGTAATATTGTTACATCGCCACACAAGACTCTTGTTTAAATTTGGGATGGTACTGATACTCAATATTTCATTTTCACTTGATATCTGGTCAGAGCTACTGACCCTTGCGTAAGAAGCAGACATCTAACTTGTGCAGTCTGGAGCAAATGTGGTGTAGTGTTTGAAAAATATAACCTATTTGTCAGACATCCTGGTTGAAATCCGTATGACAAATATGCATTTGGCACAATTCTATAGTGATAGAGTTGGAAAGATTAATGATAATTTGTGCAACTGAAAAAAAACCCTTACATAAATATAAAATCAAACCTTGTTATTTAAACACTTTAATATGAACATTTGCTCTTACCGGATAGATAGGCGAACTTCTTCCTTAGCTGATCCTCAATATCTGTTGCACAGAGAGGAACAACATCTTGATGCATGATTTCATCTGAAACAAACCCCAATACACACTTTTTTACAAATTTATGTAGAAGTCAGATTTTTACATTCATTTCATTTTCAACCCCCATGAATATGCCCCCTTTCCACAACTGTTTACACTAACAATTCAAAAGAATTTCATACAAACAACAACAAGTAAACTCCAAAACTATTTAATTAAAAGTGCAACTAGGTAAACTATTTTTAAAAATGACTATTAGGGTAGAAAGATGATTTTTTTGATACACACTTTTGTCCGATAGTGGCAAAAGCTATCAGGTGAACTAATGCCTACACCTCAGTTCTAACATCATCTTTCCTGATACGTATCTTGGAAAATATGCACAAAGAGACTAATAACTATTAGTTGACTATACAGTTAAGCATAAGACTTCATTTCATTCAGACCACGATCCAGAGAAACCTCTTGGTGCATGCAAACCACTTCTAGATTCCCATGGATGCATGGGGCCAAAATTTTACTTCTGGAACAACCACTAAGCATTTCAAAGGCACAACTTTCAGTGCTCTCAGGCTTCTAGAGTAGTGGATTCTCAGGAAGAATGGATGGTATCGCAAGGAGGAAGCTAAAAAGTCATTGTGTATGCACAGTGCTATGGATCCCAGCCTCCAAGTAAAGCTACTTCATGGAAACCTGTAATATTTGTGCTGAACATGGCCATGCTGAATGAACTCCCCCTATCCGTGAACTCCACCTTTACTTTAGCAACAGGAAGCAATGCATCCAGGAAGTATAAAAAGGCAAGGGAATGAGGTGGGGGGGAGGGGCTGGCAATAGCAGCCCAAGTCCCTGGAAGGAGGACTACTTGCTGAAAAAAAGAACAAGGATGGAGAAGAACTCCCTCAACTGAATGGCCAAATACATAAGGCTAACCATTTTTTTTCTGTTTCAGGTTGCTTCACAGCAAATAATGACAATATTACCATGATTAGTTCTTCAGAGCCATTTAAAAATCACAGAAATGCTTCAAATAAAACAAACTAATACTATTAAAACCTGTAATAAAATTCACAAATCCCAGCAGCTGTGTCCTATAGGAATACTGGCAATAGACATGGTTTCATCAAAACTAATGATTTTTCCTTCCTTCCTCAGTATTTGGTTTATCACCAGAAACTGAACTGCACAATAAAAAGAATGAGAAAGTGAAGAACAGAAAGTGAACTTTGATGAGAGCGCCCCCCCCCCCAATTACTGATTGTAAACAGCAGGGATATGTCACAAGCTTGCAATGTGATAACACAAGGGACATCAAGGGGAAATAAAACAAAAGGAAAGCTAATTTTCTGTGGATCCTCTCATATGACAAGAAATTTACAGTAGTTTTGGAGAAGGAAACTACTTCATTTCTCTGAAGAAAATCACAAGACCAAAAAATTTTTTGCCGTACAAAACAGGAACATACACTTAGGCAAGGACTAAACAGCCACTGTTTCGAGATTGCTCAGCCAGGGGACTGTTGTCAATATATAAAATTCTCAACATGGCCAAATCTTTGGATACTTAAATCCATGAACAGACAAGACAGATCTTTCTACAAACCTGAGAAAAGCCCCAGGATTGCAAAAATTCTAAAATCTTTAAAAAATACACCGGTTTTTTTTTTTTAAAAAAAATCTCCAAAATAATAGAAGCAGAGCCTGAGGATTTAAGAAACAAATGTCCTCTGTGGCCATTGCTAGGCAACTGCAACAGTATTGCCAGCTGAAGCCTTGGTTTCTGTCTGAAAATGTGGGCCTTTTCCAGTGCTGTTTTGGTGTTTGGGGGAGGATTCACTGGGGCTAAGCCTGCTAGCATCTGTTGGGTGACTTGACACCACGTGATATGCATGACTTACCCAGGCCTGGCTGCTCACTACTGTTCAAACACAGCCAACTCACAAAAGCCAGTGTGCTGGTGGAGTAAGAGCTTCACACTAAGATCTGGGAGGTCATTACTTCACCTGGGAAGCTTACTGGGTGACTTTGGATCTGTCACATACGCTCAGCCTAACTTAACTCAACAGGTTGTTCTGAAGATAAAATGCTTCCCTTTTCTCCCAAGCCTCCCCCCTCCTCTCTTTCCTGGGGACAATGTATATGCATTACAACACTGGTGGGTTCATTTGATGGACTAGCCTCAGGCGGATACCTCTAGCTTAGATGTATTGGCCTTCACAAGGACTGTGCAAACTGCTTGCTGGTTGCTCATTCTCCAATTTATGTGGCTTACATTTATGTAATTTATTGACTGAGGCAGAACTTAACTGGAGGGTTGGATAGCACAGGAAGAGGCAGTCCTTTATGAACCCTGGGTCCCAAACTTAGGCCTGAATCTGGATTGAAATGGGTCTAGATAACCTGTCTCATCCAAGAATACCTGAAGCAGCATGGAACCCTCCATTCAAGCACCTTGGCTAAAAATGGAATGGTGGCCACCACACATTAGTTGTTCAGATCTGTCAGGCCCAGGGATGCTTTCTTCAAGAGTGGTCAAATGAAAACCTCTTTTAAGGTAGTCAGAACTACATCCTCCCATTGAGAGGCATTGTTACCTCTGGATCCAACTGACGAACCCAGTCTGGCTTGACACCAACAGCCACGAAGGGCAAGGGTCATATTTCGACATCTATATATTGAAGTCTGTCATACAAGACAGTTTGTATGACAAAAATGGGTGCACCGGCACTCTCCATTTCCCCCTCATAAAAATACAGACATCAGACTGTTCTATTCACCAGTGATCTCAAACTATACATGAGATTACAAATCTTGAATGATCCATTATAATTAAATATGGAAATAAGTGCAGATAAAGAGATTATACCTTATAAACTAGTTTTACTAGCAGACAATAAATATGCAGTATTTGGACTCTGAAGCCTGAAAGTAACAAAAACATCATTTTTACTCCAAAATTATTAGCAGAGTCAAGGCAGCATGAATTTACTTATTCCTCCTTTTTTGCTGGGATTCCTAGTAGTCTACCATGGACAGCACCATTAGGGCCACCATTGCACTATTTTTTCCCTATGAGGATGTTAACTCCATAAAGAAGTAATATATCCTCATACGTGTCACACCTGACAATCACATCACCAGATGTACATAGTACAAGCTTTGTTTCCTCTCAGGGCTTCCTGTACAAGTACACAAAGCAAAAAATATGGTGAATGCTAGGCACATATGACAATGTCCATCAGAGTATGTGCGATGTCCTGCAAAGATGCATATCTATGAAGGAATGTTTGTAAATAAGGGGGGGATCTATAAAAAAGTATCCCAAGAAAATCTATAAGAAAGTATTAAAAAGTAAGAGCCCATCCAGACATAATGAGCAAACTCCAGTACTTTCATGATAAATCCACACTTAGTTTATGCACATGAATTCTCCTCTTGCATGCACAGCAAAAATGGAAGACTTCCTGATGCAAGGAAGTACTCAGCCCAACTTATTGAGGCTCTGTGCATGAATAGGAGGGAGGATGCACATGAGCCTGAAAAATACGAAGTTCATTCTGTTGGGAAAAGGCAATGTCTGGTGTACAAAGAAGAAGAAAAGAAAACCCTGCAGGGGACAGCAAAAAGACAATTAGATAGGATAGTGAGGTCAGCATCTTCTCTCCTTTTAAATGTCATTCCTTGTCCAGATTGCTACTCTCAGGGAAATTTCCCCCTTCTAGGAAATGCCACATTCAGTTTTACCCTCTCTCTCAGCTAGAGATGTAGTTAGGAACTTATCTCTGTCTCTCCTCTTTCCTATCAAGTACGTTAATTCCTAAATAAATCTTTATCTACTCTTTAATCAGGTTGTGCAGTGTTGCTGTGTTAATTACTCTGCCAACACATTCACCTGAGAACACATGAAACTGCCTTCTATGGAATCAGACCATCGGTCCATCAAGATGGATATTGTCTAATCAGACTGGCAGCAGCTCTCCAGGGTCACAAGCAGAGATCTTTCTCATTATCTAGCACCTGATCCTTTCAACTGGAGAAGCCAAGGATAGAACCTGGGACCTTCTGCATGCTAAGCATATGCTCTACCACTGACCAATGGACCCTTCATGTCACAACAAATTATCCTTTGTTAACAATGTCTGGATGACCTCCAGGTGTTAGTCGGAATAGGAACAATTTTCAAGCACTGTGTCGTTTGCAATATACTTATTAGTCATCGGTCAATGAACAATCAACTGTAAAAACTAGATGACGTTAACAGCCTATGTGCTTAATATCAAGTTATCAACTCAGCCCCATCTCACAGAAACACAAACCGAAGAACTCACTATTACACTGCTATTCTTCTTTGCTTAAAAAAAATTATCCTACAGATATTTCCCAGATGGAGCAAATGAAGATTATTTTCAAATTATGTAACCAAATGACCATCCTTTTAATGCACAAACATTCTGTCATCAGCAAACTTTTTACTTTTTAAAGCAATCATGGATTTCCCCACTAATGTTGGAATTCCTCTCTTAAAAAGAGGAAATCACAACTTCTTGCAGTAATTTTGAGTTACTGTAGTGATTTACAGCAAAATGATAGTATCTTCACAGAAAAGACAATTCATAGCATAGACAATTTCCTTTTTAGTATTTTAACAGTATCAAATTTAATCACTCTTAAAAGTATAAATATGGATATTCATAATGAAATGCCTGTTATAGATGCGCTATTTTAACCATAGAAAATAGAAAATCGGACACTAGATCTAGGAAATGAACTGCTACTCACAAAACACAAATGAATGCATTGTAATAGTCAGTAAAAGAGAGCCTTCATTCTACAACTGACATATAACAACTTAAAAGCATCCTATTCATCATGTACAAGTGGAAATTGCAGCCCTGAGGCACATATTTAATTTTGCATCCCATTTTACTTATAGAACTGTTCATGTGGGAGGAAGATAAAGATACTGGAATTACAAAAAAAAACCCCAAACCTATAGGAACTTTTACTAGGAAGGCATATGCTATTGTCACTGTTAACTACTTAAGAATTTCTATGTTCCATCTTATCTAGTTTATATGCCAATAAAGGACTGATTGATTGAACTACTTAAGAAAAGAAGCCGTCTCCTGTATTTTCTTAACTAGATGGTCAGTTTTATGCACTTTTTAACATTACGTTAGAAACAGAAGAAACATACATAAATACTTTGCAGATGTGTGTAAATTAATTTTAGTTTCAACGTTTTTATTCATTTTTGTTTTATTCGCAATTACACATATTCATTTGTACTGCTGCATTCATTGGTTTCCATCAGTTTCACACACATTCTGCATTCCTTCTGCACCGTCTCAACCACCACATTGCTGATGATGGTCAGATTGGTGGTGGCACCTGACTAGACTTTAAGGCATAGGAGAAAGTCTCACACATTGAAATTGGAAGGTTCCTACAGAAAACATATAGCAATGCTCAGACTTGGGTTTTCAACTTGCATATATTACTATGTGAGACTAGGAAAAACCTGGCCAGGTGGCACAAGCAATACTAGCTTCAACTAGTATCAGGGGTCATTTCCTGCAGGAGCGCAGCTCCAGAAGTAAAGAGCCCAGGGGGCGGGCACATGCAATAAGCCCCACCCCCTGCTCCCAGCAGCCCTCAGTCAGAGCAAGAAGCAGCCAGGTAAGTTACAGAGTCCCCCCCCCCAGCCCCCCCGTCCAAAACAGTCCAGTGGCACCTTTAAGACCAAGTTTTATTCAGGTACAAGCTCTCCTTCCTCTGTGAGGACAGATCTGCACGTTCCCCCCCCCCAATAGCTAGCAATCCAAAACAGCCCAGTGGAGCCTGAGCGGTGGGTGTTGCCTTCTGACACACTTCCGGTGATGTCAGGGAGTGTGGCATATGAAAATAAGTTACGCTAATGAGTTATGCTAATGAGCTCCTGCACCTCTTTTTCTACGAAATGACTCCTGACTAGTATTATCTGTATCATTCAAATGAGAGTACAGATAAGCAGTTTCCAGTATATTCAAAGAGCACAGCTAACTTTATACCACATTTTAAATTCATCTCACAATTCTGAATGCCTTTCACTTTAGGTCAATGTTTATGTCATGTAAAATACTGAATACTGGAGCAGGGGGGCGGGGGAGGATAAGGAGGTAGTTACCACAAAATAGCCAACAGTCTTAATCACTCAACCACACACACTGGAGAACTGAAATGAAACGCAGGCTCACTCACTGTTCCCACTTCAAACTACACTCAGTCCCCGCATGCTTATTTGGTTTCCTATAGCTACTAAAGATAAGAGGTTCTGTGTGCCTGCCAGCATGTTTTTTTCTGTACGATACCACACCTGTCATTTATGGCAATGTGACAGAACTTCAGGTTCTAGAAGTCATCAAGACTAAAATGTTTGTCTCAGAACCTGATTAATCACTGTCAGATCCATCACATCTATATATCTAATAGCGAAAGGCGCCCCCTGCGTGCGGATACCTAAATCCGCGCATCGGGGGCACCTGGGGGGAGGGAGATTTTTGTGCCGAGGCCCGCCAGGGGGGAGGGGGAAACAGCAGCGAGACCCGAGCGGCAAGCCACTCGGGCCTCGCTTCGGAGGTGGCGCGGGGGGAAGAGCAGCGAGACCCGAGCGGCAAGCCGCTCGGGCCTCGCTTCGGAGCGGGGGGGAGGCAAGGGGCGGAAATCGAGCGGGGGTGTGTGGAGGAGACAGGGGAAGAACCGGCGGGATGGGGGGAACTTACCTCCTCCTCCTGCTTCCTCCTCTGCCTCAGGTGCGGAGGTCCCTCCCCCCCGTGAGTATCGCGGGTCCCGCCCCTTGTCTCTACTCTAATGTTGTTCAACAGCAGCTTGATCTGCAGACATCTGTAGCTTTTAAAGTCACACTAATAGGCCAGTCTACCTCCCCCCCCAGTTAACTGTAATATAACTGAGCTAGCAGAGACCCAGAAAATACCAGTACTCTTTTTCTTATTCTCAGTTAAGTTGTTTAACATTTCTAACACAATTTATACTAAGAGAGCTGCTTGGGATAACCATATAGATTTTCAACTAACCACCAGCTTCTGTAAAAATGAGCCACAGTAACCCTTTAAAACACACACTACACAAAATGTGCACAAAAAGGATTGAAAGCTTAAGTTTCCTTGTATTTTACTCTTTCCAATTACTCAAATTCTTACTAATCTCAGGTTTGAATCATTTCTTGTGTACAAGCATAAAAACATTAACTGGAACACAAAGTGATGCTACAGGCTCATTCACAGACTGCTGAAGACCGTGTTCTAAGTAGAAAGATCCTCACTCCTAGCCCTATACAGAAAGCCTCCTAGACATATTAATATTACTATTAAAATTTATTTTTACAAAAATGCAGAAGTCTGAAAAAACTGAGCAGCGATCACCCACCTGACATGTCATGGCTCTTCATTTTGTATTCTTCTGTAACAGTCATGCATATCAAGCAGACCTCAAGACTGGCAATGTGAACTGAATCAGCAGTATTTGGTTCTTCCCTCTTTCCCTCCCCCCAATTTCCACAAAAAAGAAGCTCTCAGTTTCACACTGGACTGTAGTTTCACTATTTAGAGCAAAGACGGCCTCCAGTCCTTCATTCATGCCTTACTGAAAACAAGATTTCTGTGGAAAGCTTGAACCGATGAAACGCAAGAAAAGATACCACAGACTGAACTTTGTGCTAATTAATTTCATAGAAAGCGCAATGAAAGCCTTTAAAAGCAATTATTTCCCCTCTCCCGTTCCAATGGGTTTTCTCACAAATGCCAACAAAATGCTTCAGACTGAGAATTGCAAACATCAAGATCAGTTATCCTAAGACAAAGAAAATAGTTTCTAAAGCAGCAACCAGTACATACAATTCGCTGTGATCCTTCACTAAACACCTTTTACAGACATTGTGTCAAACTCAGACAAATGTTCTGTGTGATAATCTAAAAAAACCATACACGCTTTGGTTTTTAAAAAAACAGATGCAAACTACAAAAGTAGTACAAGAATGAAAGATCTCTATCTCCCCACTTTGACTAATACTTTAATAGAATAGCACAAAATGTTAACAACTCTAGATCACATATGTCATTTGAATGCAGTGAAGTCACTAGAAGGAGGAACAAGGAAAGAAAACAAAAACTTAGACACACCTGTGCTTTTCTTCAGAAGGTACCACAGTTCCGCAATATCGTTGTATAGCAAAGAGATCAGACTTAAAGTCATATTGCCACAAATCAACGTAGTGAAAATTAGTCCTGTAGTTAAGCTCCCTGTTTTATCTCCGAACCTGCCCTTGGAACACAAAGAACGCTTAAAACTTCATCTTTCACAGCAAAAGCCGAGCTAAACAGGACACAATACCTTTCTTCAAGTTACATGTGAAGCAAGTGTGTCTTTCAACAGGATCAGAGGTCCACCAAAGGGTTAGCCATTTAGTAGCACCTTCTCAGTTTCTCTTTTGTTGTATAAAGAGCTCACACACATTAAAACTATATTTACTTACTCAGTGTGAGCATGATGACAGAGTAAATTCTGCCAAGAACAAGAATCTATGTTTAAATAAATTAATCCTAAATCTCTCCTGCAGTGGTATGTCAAAGACCCCCCTAAAATAGCCCTCGTTTGAACAAAAGCAACCTATCAAGTAAAGTCATCTCTCTTTAGCCTGAAAAGAACAATACTGATCAGCTGACAGGTGCCTCTCTGAAGGAGCCTTCTAATGAGACAGTTCCTTAAATTAAAATGGGAAGTTTCACATTAGCTAGCGTTAAAAAAAATCCCTGGGTAGCACACGATATTGAAAGGCACAGATTAAAAAAAGCATATCTTTAACTAAAGTGAATTATCAGTGTGCATTAGCTTCATGCTTCACAGAATTTTTATGCAGCTGAAATAAAAGAAAACTCATGAAAGGCAGGTAATTCAAAATCAAAGATAGGTCTCTTGAGGCCTTCCCACATTATTTTTTCTTCTTCTGAAAAAAATGCATAGTTCTTATTTGTTGAAGACATGAAGCTGCCTTAAACTGAATTAGACCATTAGTCCATCAAGGCCACTACTGTCTACTCAGACAAGCAGCAAGCTCTCCAGGGTCCCGGGCAGAGACCTTTCACATCACCTACTACCCGAACCTTTTATTTTACTTATTTATTTATTTATATTTATATCCCAATTCCTGTGAATGGGCTCAGGACGCATTACAACAATAAATTACAATCAATGAGTGATTAAAAACAGATATTAAGCAATAAAAAGAGTTAAAAAGGTTAAAAGATGGGCATAGCAGCAATGACATATTCAGCAATCCTAAAACTGGGACCAACTGGGCCACGGACAAGCTATAAAGGTCTCAGCAGCAGCAGCTTATCAGTAGGAGAAACTGCAGCACTGTGGCAGAGAGACCAATTAATGGATGCCTACCTCCTCACCTGAAGGCCTGGAGCAACAGCTCCATTTTGCAGGCCCTGAAAAACTGTACTAGGTCTCGCAGGGCCTTGATCTCGATAGGGAGCATGTTCCACCATTGGAAATGCTGGGGAGTGAACCTGGAACCTTCTGCATGCCACGCAGATGCTCTGCCACTGAGCCACAGTCTTTCCCGTATCTTCTCTTAAGGTAGCAGAGATATTACTCTTTGGAGAGTCCAGTATTATAAATGTGGGAAAGTAGTGCTTTTGATCAGGGCTTTTTTTGTAGAAAAAGCCCAGCAGGAACTCATTAGCATAATAGGCCAAACCCAACAGCAGAAATCATTAGCATATTAGGCCACACCCCTGACAGCATAGCGCATTAGCATATTAGGCCACACCCACATGTTACCAGAAGCGTGGTCATGCAACCACACCCACCTTTTGCTTCTTATTCTGTTTACTTTGTTGCCAAAACCCTGGGCTTTTTTTCTAGCAGGAACTTGTTTGCATGCTAGGCCACACACCCCTAATGTAGCCAATCCTAATGAGTGTCTGCTGTTAGGTGTGGCCTATTATGCTAATGGGTTCCTGCTGGGCGTGGCCAACTCAGGAGCCAGCCGGAACTCCGTTCCTGTGCGTTCCTGCCCAAAAATAGCCCTGCTTTTGATAGTGTTTTTGTTGCCGTTTTTATTTCTGTGAGGAATGTGAGTGTTCACATGTTATGAGCATTCACTGGATACTAATGCTTTTTTTAAAAAAAGAGATTCTCTCATTCTTTGGCGCACACTGCTCAACTCCTGTGCAGGAGTACATATCTGGACAGTTTATTTAAATTAACAAATAGCAGCAAGACCTAGCTATGATGTGTGGATGGAATGTTGCACCACTGTCAGACTTGCAGCAGTTATCACGCTATGGCAAAACTGTGCTTGCTGGCAGCTGCATGTTTTCAGTAACTGTGTAGAAAGCAGCCTGGGTTGGATCCAGCCAGCTTTTCCACTCCATCTTCTCCAGTTCTCCTCCTTACTATATCTTCTGTCCCAAATGGCTTTGGTCCGTTCAGGTACCAAGAGTGGTCAAAGGGGTTCTGTTTTCCCTTTTTCACTAGTGGAAAAGCTGATTGGATCCATTCCCTCCCCCCCAGCTGCAAGCCCATAAAACTCTGAAACCCATTCAAATACTGAAGATTACAAAAGACGGTATAAAACGGAATATACTTTTTCTTACCTTGCTTTTCAGTGACACGTATTTCATGACTTTAAAAAAAGATAAAACTTTCACCCACTCACATTAAGTGAAGTCTTACTTTACTTGATCCTTTTGAGTAATTGTAGGACAGATTAGCAGTTAATTAGGGACCGATTACTTGTTAGCAATCTCAGTAAAAGCGATAAGCAAGATAAGATAGTAAATCTGAGTGACAGAAGCAACTGTTCAAGAACCCAAAGAAAAAGCAGGGTGTCTCTCTTCTTCTATTGGTGGAAACATTCCCCTTCCTCAGAGTTACAAAAAAAGGTCAAGAATGAAACCATGGTCAATAAATCATGGGCTAGCAATTACACTTATTCAGAAATAAAGCTATAACTCAGGACAACAAATTCTTTCTTCCTTGAACCCTTACATGTGGGAAAGCAATCTGTTATGTACCAAATTCTCCAGGTTTACCAATGGGTTTTGGGCATGCAGTTGCAATTAGGTTACAAATAAATTCTTCTAACTAAAGTCATTGAACAAAACGCCAATTATTTTCACTGCGTTCTATAACTTAGATCTACCTGAAATATTAAATCTTGCTACTTTGCCTTTCTGCATATGTGGGAGTAATGATCTGTGAGAGGAAATTTTGATGTATTTGATGACAACATCAAACAACAATCAGGATGAGAGAACAGGTCATCACAGATGTTATCACATCACCTCAAAAACCCTAAGTTTTTCAATAGAGTCCCTTTGCACACTTCAACCAAATGTAGAACTACCATGAGAACCAATCCTAATACTTTCGAATATATTTTTAACATTTGTTGCTCTTAAAAGCTGCAGACACTTATATAACCCACCTATGTAACCACCTTAGACTGAAGACAAGTATAACAAGAGAACTCACAGTGGGTTCCTCAACAGCGGAGTCACCATAGCTTTGAAACTGGACCGACAGATGTACATACTGATGAACTCAACACCTGTTTAATGGTCAGTCTTCTCAAACATACATAAACTTCAGATGAACTGCCTGCTGAGGACTCTTTGGCCCATCTGCTTCAGCTTCTACGATCTCAACCTCCTACGGCTGAGGAAAGTGCTTCACAGCCATGTTCCTCCAATTTGGTGTAATGGTTAGGAGCGTGGACTCTAATCTGGGAGAACTAGGTTTGATTCCCCCCTCCTCCACATGCAGCTGCTGGAGTGACCTTGAGTCAGTCACAGTTCTCTCAGAGCTGTTCTCTTAACAGCAGTTCTCTCAGAGCTCTCTCAGCCCCACCTATCTCACAGGGTGTCTGTTGCGGGGAGGGGGAGGGAAAGGAGATTGTAAACTGCTCTGAGACTCTAAGTGAAGGGCGAGGTATAAATCCAGTCTCTTATTATTATTTGTATGGGTGCCTCAGACAGGGTAAAATTGTGCCCTTTCCTCTGGAGACCCTGACAAAATGAGAGGATGTGGTCTGTCATATATCCCTCTCCTTCAGTGTGCTGCATATTGCAAGGAATGGTGACCAGTTGACCCTCGATTTTTTGTACTTTGAGGGTGCTCAATCTCCTGCTGGAGGAGGTGTTAGTAGTGGTAAGACATGAGAGGACAACCAGTCCAAGGCAAGCAGTCTGCTCAACTCATGGGTGGTGCTGAGGGAATGACACAGAACTATGCTAATTCAGCTGCAAAACTGGTAGGAATCAACTGTGAGTCATTGTCTCATATCTTTGATCTCTATGGTTGTCAACTGCCCTGGAGAAAATATCTTCTCCCTTAGTGAGATGTTACTTACTTCCATGACATGAAAAGCTTGAGTG